TCGGCGTGCCCCCCCCCACCGGCCGCGGGCCGGGAAACCCCCCAGCCCCTGCCCCTGCCCCCGCCCCCACACCCCTGCCCTCACATGCGCTGACAAGGACAGGGGGTTCTGGGCACATCCTCGAAGACCCGGTGCTCCGGCCGAATGCACTTCTGTGTGCACGCCAAGCCTAGCCCCGACATTCTCTGAAATCCCTACTCACATGGTCTTGGAGAAATTAAAGTCACACCTTGCTTTTGTGATGGCTACCATGGCGACAGGGAGCACAGGCTCATCCCAGTCAGAAAAACACACTAGGGTGCATAAGCCCCAATGGCGACACACGCTCACCGGACATTCCGAGGCCGCGTGACCGGCCACATCTGTTCTTACAGTGCTCCCGAGAGGGTGGCGGATGCACGTGGGGCCTGGCCCTTGGAGACACCCCGACAGTCCTCCGACAGTCCAGGGCGCTCATCCTGGTTCACGGGGTTGCCATCGCTTCCAGATCACATGGAACCCGTGGTGTGGCCGTCCACACCGCTGGCCTGCACCCACATCATCCTCTGGACTGGGAGGGCCGCCTGCGCCCTCCGCCCCCTTCCTTCTCCGGCCAGGCTCCAGCTCGCGCCCCTCTGGTGCCGCCCTGTTTAGGGCCCAGGCCAGGAGCCCGTCACCCCAGGAACCCCCAGAATGCAGGACGGAGCACCGGGCCTGCTGTCACCACCGAGCAGGTCAGGCACACGAGGACACCTGGGGAAGCTACGGGGACCTGACCCTCTAGCACCCTAGAACGGCAGTGCCTGCCACCAGGGGATAGGCACCTCACCTGTCCTTCCTCCACAGGGAGTCCCTGACCTCCCCAGCTTGCTGTCCTCACCCCTGCAGGGCTGCTGCTACGACCCTCAAGCTTCTGTTCATGGCAGAGAAGGGTGCAGGAAGGCCGGCAGCTCCTGGCCCGGGAGCCCTCAGAGACTCTGCCAAGCCGGACAGACCTCACGGATGAGGCGCACACGCTTACATGCCACATGCGCCTGGGGACAGAAGAGACCCAGCTTGGTGCTAGTGATAATACACAGCTGCTCACGTGGCAGGGCTGTCAGGACACTGACAGTTATCTTATTAGGATTGCTGTTCCTAAGCACAGCTGAATAAGCCTCGCAAACCCTCAGAGCATCAGCAGCTGTGGCGGGGGTCGGCTGGAATGCACATGTTTAACTTCGCAGCAAAGTCAAACCTCGAAGGCATGGAGCGACAGAAACACTGTGAGTGTGCGTGTACGAGGAGGAAGAGACTGGGCCACGTCCACGGAACCTCGGAGAAGGCAGGCTGGCAGGTGGGGGTGGCAGGGGCAGTGAGCCCAAGCGGCAGGTCGGGGGCGTCCGCGCCAGTCTGCACACTGAGCCCCAGGCCGACGCCCACCTCTCTCCAGAGTCAGCGTGCCCGAGCGCCCGCTGCACCAGGACCCCGTGCTCACGGAGGACAGGGAAGCACCACGGGCTCTGGCAGGGAGCACCGAGCCGCACTCACCGGGGGGAGCACGGAGCCGCACTCACCAGCTGGTTCTGGTAGGCCGTGACGGCGGTGAACACGGTCTCCGGGAAGACGAACGTCCGGAACTCTTCGGACTTGAGGTTGAGCAGCGAGGCCGTGTGGTCTTTCTTCTTAATGACGTGCACCCGCGGCTGGTACTTGTGCATGGAGTTCAGGATGATCTGCCGCAGGAGACGGACACCTGAGCTCACATGCTTGCAAAACCGCAGCGAGGCCAACAGACACCCATCAGAGGAGCCATTTTGAGTTCAAAAATCTACACTTTCGAGTTCAGTTTTAAGATTAGAATTTACCCTTTCCATTCTTAAGGTAAATCATTTTCACAGAATACTTTAGGTTGCTATTTGAGGGGGCGGAGATGCACTTTAGCAACCGTGCATACTGCAGACCTGGACCCCAGAGCCCGCCCGCCCGAGCGCTTTCATCTCGGCCCCGTGACTGCAGCTCTCCAGTCTAGTGCTTCGCAAAGCAGTTCTCGCCGCACCAGGCTTTGGCGAAGAGACAGTGTGACCCTCGTAGGGCAGCGAGGGAACGAGCCCAGTAAATGCGACTGCTATTATTGTCACTGCATATGACAGCTCCCTGATCCCAGGCCTCCAGGCCTGAATCACAGTGACAGTCCTGTAGCTAATGACACATGCCCTGTAGCTAATTAAAGTTGTCAAGTACTTACAAAAAACACACGCCCCGACAGTATGTGTCACTAAGAGAGGGCATTTTCCATGTCGTTGTAAAGTATGAAGTCACTATGTCCTATGACATCGGGGCCCCCAAATTCACTTTGGGACATGAAAGGTTTCCCTTACCGCCTGCCCTGCTGCCCAGACAGCTGCTGAAATCTACAGTTGGCGTCTTCCCTGCTCAGGGAGCTCCTTCCGAGTGCCCCCCACCCCCACCAAGGCCAGCTCTGGTGGATCTAGGAGCACACGCCCCACGTGCTCAAAGCTGGCCCTGGGCGCACACTGGGCGTCGCCCCTCTGCGGGCTCGGCACACAGGGACGTGCGGGGTGAGTGTGCTCGCTGACGTGAGCAGTTAGCGATGGCTGCCGGGGGTAATGAACACACCAATCTCCGTGTACGGAGGTGAGCCAGCTTGAGTTACAGGGCAGTAACCGGGCTGAGTATGAGCAGCCACCTTTCTGTGATTCCAAACTAGGACAGGAATAGCCGAAGTGATGAGAGTGCAGATGAGTCTAAACCAGCTTGTAAGAAGCGGGTCGGTTCTCCCTGCACACTGCGTTTACTCCCAGGAGCAAAGCAGTTCTCGCCGCACCAGGCTTTGGCGAAGAGACAGCTGATGTCCAGCGCTAAAGCTGAAATGAGCAGGGCCGAAGGCGAGCATCTGCCTGCCAATGCTAATATGAGAGGCCCTGGCACCCACGGCGTGTTCGCACAGGCAGGAAGGCTCTCCAGATCACACTCACTCGCACAGACCAAGATGGAAACTCCCTAGGCATGAAATACACGCCTCTCCTCTCCATCCGGCACCCCGGCAGGTGCATCCCCGGAGGAGAGCTGCACACGGCCTGACTGCTCCAGCCACGGGGACCAGGCACGCTCACAGAGAGTGGGCCCGCATCACCCAGGGGGACAAGAACGCTCCAAGCACCTGCGAGAGGGGCTTCCTCGGGATGGTTCCAAGAACCAGGCCAAACAACACAAGATAGAAAGCTCTTTCCTCCAGTTTTCAGGACACTAATTCTGCCGGCACAGGGCTCTACTGAATCGTAAACATTTTTAACTCACGCCAGGCAGATGTGCGTGCATGCCCAAGATCCTGAGGGGAGAATGGAGAAGGGATTGCGGCGTGGCCATCCCCCCTGGAGGGTGATTTCTCTCTTTCTGTCTCTCTGCCTCTCTCTGGCTGGCTGGCAAGCACATGCGCCCAATAGCAAAAACCCCTCCAAAAAAAAAAAAAAAGGTGTACATTTATACCGACATCCTTAAAGATCAAGGTCAATGATCTTTTGCACACTTGGTACAAGAGAAGCTATCTACTGCTCCCAGCGTCCCCTCTGCACCTCCAGCAGAGCCAGGGCTAGCCCGGGCACGCCGACTTGGTCACAATGAACCCGTGCTGCGGGCAAACGCGGTGCTGATGCCTCCGTGAGCTCTGGGCTCCAGGTTCAGTCAGCCATTGTGAACTGCACCTAGAGCTCTCTACTTTGCTATTTACTTAAGTCCACCTTCTCGGGCTCCAGCCACGGAGGCACAGGTGCCAGGGTGCTCTGCAGTACAGGAGACCTGTGGGAGTCCAGGTTGGGAGCCTGGGCCCTCCCGAACACACCCGTGACTCTGCCTGGCTAAACGGCTGCAGTGTAAGACTATCAACAGTACCTGTCTCTGTCTCTCCCCTTCTCATGAAACAAATAACTAAAGTTTAAAAAGTGGTTATGGGGAACCAGCAGTTAGCGTAATGGCTATGTCGCTGGACTCCCACGTAGTCGACCGCGGTTCGTGTCCCGGACCCGGTGGCTTAAAACTCACGCCGGGCGCGTGTGCGTGCGTGCCCAAGATCCCGAGAGGAGAATGGAGGAGAAGGGATTGCGGCGTGACCATCCCCTCTGGGGGGTGATTTCTCGCTTTTCTGTCTCTATGTCTCTCTCTGTCTGTCTGGCGAGCGCACGCGCCCTACAGTGAAAATCTCTCCAAAAAAAAAAAAAAAAGGGGTTATGATGAGAAATCAAAGAAAAAATAAGGCACACAGCATTCCTGTAAATGACCCTCCGACAAAAGCAGTCGGGGTCCCGTGAAGAACACGTGAACATTTTCACAGAGCGACTCAAACGTGGAAGGCGGCAAGTGGATGGCGGGAGGAGGGGACTGAGGACGTTCTGGGAGACTCGCCCCTCCAGCCCAGGAGCTGCAGTCCAGGCTCCATACTCACGTGGCCATGCTGGTCCAGCTCGTTGTTGGTGAGTTTCACTTTTTCAAAAGACACCATCTGCTTGAGCAGCTGCTCACCAGTGAAAGGGGAGTCGGGGTGCACGTAGAGCCTAGGGACGGAGGGTGGTCGGGACATGGTTGAGAACGTGGTCTCTGTGGGCTAGCAAACATCATCGAAAGGAACGCAGAAACTTCATACACATAGGTTTAATTTGCTCCATATGCACCGAGTTTTGTAATACCACAGTGCTAAAATAACCTGAAACAGCTCACGTATTTTTGTACGTACTAACGACCTAAAAGGGGTAATACTTCATGTTTGCTTTTATCTGCTGAGCAAGCCAGTTTGCAAAGGTAGGTTGTTTTTTTCCATCTACCTACTGAGCTATCACTTGTTTCTGTCAAATACGAATCTTAATGTAAGTATTTTCAAGAGAAAGACTAGGTTGTACTAATAGCATAAGAAGTGCATATTATATAAGAATTGTCTAAAAGCAATGAAAACAAAGAAGTTAAAAGAAACCATTTTAGATCATTCATTTATTCAAACTTAAAAGTAACTCAATTTGGGACCAGCAGCTGGTGGAATGGTTACCTCGCTGGACTCCCGTGTAGTCAACTGGCATTTGAGTCCCAGATGCAGTGGCTTAAAACTCACACTGGGCACATGTGCGTGCATGCCCCAAATCCCAAAAGGACAATAGAGGAGAAGGGATTGTGGGTGGCCATCCCCCTGAGGGGTGATTCTCACTTTCTCTCTGTCTCTTCAGTGAGTGCATATGCCCTATAGCAAAAATCTCTCTCAAAAAAAAAAAGGGGTTATGATGGTAAATCAAAGAAAAAATAAGGCACACAGCATTCCTGTAAATGACCCTCCGACAAAAGCAGTCGGGGTCCCGTGAAGAACACGTGAACATTTTCACAGAGCGACTCAAACGTGGAAGGCGGCAAGTGGATGGCGGGAGGAGGGGACTGAGGACGTTCTGGGAGACTCGCCCCTCCAGCCCAGGAGCTGCAGTCCAGGCTCCATACTCACGTGGCCATGCTGGTCCAGCTCGTTGTTGGTGAGTTTCACTTTTTCAAAAGACACCATCTGCTTGAGCAGCTGCTCACCAGTGAAAGGGGAGTCGGGGTGCACGTAGAGCCTAGGGACGGAGGGTGGTCGGGACATGGTTGAGAACGTGGTCTCTGTGGGCTAGCAAACATCATCGAAAGGAACGCAGAAACTTCATACACATAGGTTTAATTTGCTCCATATGCACCGAGTTTTGTAATACCACAGTGCTAAAATAACCTGAAACAGCTCACGTATTTTTGTACGTACTAACGACCTAAAAGGGGTAATACTTCATGTTTGCTTTTATCTGCTGAGCAAGCCAGTTTGCAAAGGTAGGTTGTTTTTTTCCATCTACCTACTGAGCTATCACTTGTTTCTGTCAAATACGAATCTTAATGTAAGTATTTTCAAGAGAAAGACTAGGTTGTACTAATAGCATAAGAAGTGCATATTATATAAGAATTGTCTAAAAGCAATGAAAACAAAGAAGTTAAAAGAAACCATTTTAGATCATTCATTTATTCAAACTTAAAAGTAACTCAATTTGGGACCAGCAGCTGGTGGAATGGTTACCTCGCTGGACTCCCGTGTAGTCAACTGGCATTTGAGTCCCAGATGCAGTGGCTTAAAACTCACACTGGGCACATGTGCGTGCATGCCCCAAATCCCAAAAGGACAATAGAGGAGAAGGGATTGTGGGTGGCCATCCCCCTGAGGGGTGATTCTCACTTTCTCTCTGTCTCTTCAGTGAGTGCATATGCCCTATAGCAAAAATCTCTCTCTCAAAAAAAAAAAAAAAAGACTCGATTCAAAGCTTGTGTCTGTACGTGAGGAAGGAGTGACCAGTCAGCCTGGGACCGGGACCAGAGCTGGGAGCCGGTCGCTCTTCTGGGTACATTAAACACTACTTTCATCATCATCTGCTCATTAAGCTAGTTATAATAAGGTGTATATGCATAGAATTATTCAATTTGTTTATTTTTAAAGAGCTTAATTTAAAAAAAAAAAAAAAAGCTTTGATGAGAAGAAACCGATCAAGTATTGGACCATGTGTGGGCAAGGCAGTGTTTCTGTCCCTGGCAGTAAATGCACGTCACTTGTGTACTGTGGTCTCACCCACAGGACTCCTGCAGGGCCCAGGCCTGGACCCTCCTGCGGCCCTTCCTGAAATCAGAGGGCATTACAGAAGTAATGCCGGGCAAGGGTGGAGGGAAGGTGATGCCACAAGAACGTTCCCTGAGATGTTGGTGTAGAGAACAGGAAGTGTGCCATGGTGCACAGAAGGCACTAAGACGCGTGTGTGCCCGGCTCAACCCACACAGCCCGGGAGGGGCAGAGCGCAAAAGGGAGAAGGGGACTCTCACCAGACCCACAGCCAACCCAAGCGGCTCCGAGTGCGTGTGTGTGCATGTGCGTGTGCGTGCGTGCGTGTGTTTCACGAAGCACTCATAGATGCTCTTCAGTGAACTTATCCTTCGAGGGCACGGCCACAATAGCATTGCAGTGCCATCCCCTGAGGCTGCAACTTTGTGGGTACTCTTGTTTTTTAGGATTTTCCCTAAAAATATTTCAGCCTTATTTAAAGTATTAGAAGTTGTGGAAATAGTCCCGCTTCAAGTGTTTTTAGCATTACACTTACAATTCGTAATCACATTATTAATGATATTAACTATTTACATATGAACTACTTTAAGTAAAAGGTCCTGTACGGAAATGTGACATTATTTAAGTCGTGAATAACGTCTCATCTATTACGATCAAGTGGTACTGTCAAACGCTATTTCTTTTAGTTAGGAAGGACAGATGATGAACTTCGGTCCTCAGTAACATGCTTCGTAGACTTAGAACCACGAGAAATTTCCACCGGAAGTACCAAAATGACCACTTCCCAATTCCTCCCTTAGGAAGCTAGAAAACATAGCAAACTACTTCTCTCAGTAATAATAATAAATAATAGTTGCTTAATTTTTTAGACTCTCTCCATCCCACAATGCACAGAACATTTTTTTATCTAATATTGATATAAATAAGTTAGACCAGGATGAATGAAGAAGTACACAGGAAGCCCCTCCTCTCGCGAGTCCTCCAGGGACTTAAAATTCCAGCAATAGCTTAAACATGCTTCAGTTCAGATAGTGCACTGGTTTGAGTTCTCCTCTGACCCGAGCAGATTAGTAACATAAACAGAGTATGTCATATTTCCAAAGTCCTGCTGGCCTGCCCCAGTGGCTCGTACCTTCAGATAGGGAGGAATGTGTGTTAACTAAAAGCGACTCACTGCTTAGAGAAAGACTAGGAAGGGAAAAAGAGAGTTTGCTTGTAAAAATCGTTGGGAATCTGCTAAAATTTTTCTCTCTCTCTGGTTTAAAGCAATATTGAAAAGTCTGGGAGGAAGTTTTAAAAATAATTGTAAAATGACTTAATGAATAGAACGGAATACTAACTCTACTGACTTCAGCATTTACGGTAAACCTGGGAATCTTGCTTAACTGAAAACATGAATTGAAAAATAATGTCTCAGTCCTGCTATACAGAATACTGGTATGGAAGGGCCGGATCTCCTTCCTAGTCGCTATGATCGTGAAAAGCTGAGAGACTACTTTCATCCCGTCTCTCCGCCTCGTGTACTAGGGTACTGACGTGCAAGAATGCGACCCATGCCCCTCAAGAATGGGTGCACCGGGCAGGGTCTGTGGGCGCCCCTTAGACCAGGCTCCAGGAACCAGCCCCAGCAGCTTACAAAGTTTCTAAATCGGTCAAGTAAACCCTTTGCTCGATTAATGACCAGACTTCATCATAAACCCACCTAAAGGCTGGGAGAGTCGTCTGGGAACTCAGAGTGTGAAGGCAGGTCACCTTCCCTGCCCTGCATGGCACAGGCCGGTCCCAGGGCCTCAGCTTCTCCCGCCCTGTGGGCAAGCACAGCCCTCCCACCCCGCCAGGCTCCTCTGAGTGGTAACCACAGCAAAGGTCCCTGTGTCACTTTGAAAGACAGGATGTCCTTTAAAATGACTAGCAATAAATGCCACCAAATAGACACACAGTCCCTCGTCCATGGAGCTCTATCTCATACGGGTATTACCCTGTGGTTGAATTACACTCATCCACTAAAAATGTGACAGAAAAAAAAGATTTTCTTTTTTCTTTAAAACCTCTGAGCCCTTTACTAGTCGGAAAGGACCAAATTTTACGAAAATGATGTTTGCTATGTGCAGATGTAACCATACAATAATAAATATTTACAAGCAACCACTTGCTCAGATGCCCTTCCACGGAGTGGAGGATAACCCCTTCCCTTGGCCCTTGGTCCGGTCAGTGTGGTTAAAGTGACATGGCAGAAATGCTGTCCCTATTCAGAATGGGTCTGCATTTCAACCCTGAAACTGGGGTTTGAGGAAAACGTGGAGGTGAACTGTAATGAAAGGTGGATTACAGACAATGTGACTGCTAGGGCCGCCCCAGAGAACACCCCCAAGCCACCTGCCACCGGCCAATGGACGAATGCACACAGGACCAGACTTCCCCCTGGAAACGGAGCCACGCACCTGGCTGGCAGGGGTGGGTCGGCCTTGCCGGCCACCAGCCAGGAGGAGCGGTGGTAGGCGTAGCGGTACCTCTTGTTGTCCACTGGCACGATGTCCATCAGGACTATGTACTTGGCCTCCGGGTCCACTCCCGAGAAAGACACCCGAATGGTGGGGAACATCCTCCTGGCAGAGACAGAATCAGTGGGCCTGTTCACACGGCCCACAGCCCACCAGCTGCCCGGCCCCTCTCCCTCCCAGTGAAGTCACAGAGATGTCCAGAGACGGGATTGCCTAGTCGCTGATCTGTTCCTACTGTGGGGGGACAGTTCCCCCCCCAGAAAGTCTGCACTCCAGGGAACCGAGCCGCAGTCTTAATTCCCAAGCACCTTAGGCTTGGAGGACTGAGGTCTTTCTAGTGCTGAGCTGCACCCAGGAGAGAAAACTGCTCCTGCAAAACCAGAGTCAAGAGCGCAGGTTTGGGACCGGGAGGATTGCCCAGGGTCCAGAGAGCTGGAGCCACTGGGTTCTTGGTCCCGCCTTCCAGGTCCCGGCTGCTGGTACTCCCATCCTGCACTCCCCAGCAGCCCAAAGCCCTTCGTGGCGCTGGAAGGCCCAGGGCGCGCCAGCTCTCCTTCCTAGGGGAGTGTCGCCTACAAAGCCCGCGCCTCCACCCGGGTCTAGTTTTCGTCTGTAACGGGCATGGCAGCTTCCACAGTGGAGGCTGGTAACAACAGGGCGGCTACCCCTGTCGCGGCGCCCC